CTAGCAGTGCATCCCCAGGATGTGTTCCCAGGTACCGGAGCAGGGCTTCCTGCTAGCAGTCCATCCCCAGGACATGTTCCCAGGTACCGGAGCAGGGCCTCCCGCTAGCAGTGCATCCCCAGGACGTGTTCCCAGGTACCAGAGCAGGGCTTCCCGCTAGCAGTGCATCCCCAGGACGTGTTCCCAGGTACCGATGCAGGGCCGCGGAGCAGCTGCGGCCATGGGCCTCACGCCACGGCCTGGCTCTGCCACAGCGCAGGGAGGCCGCAGAGCGGGACGGCCGCCACGGCTCAGCCCGCGGCCCGGCCCGGCCCGCGCCTCGCCGCGGTCACCCGTGCACCGGCAGCGCCCTTGACCCGCTCTGGCACACGGAGCGCCCTTCTCGCACGCCAGAACGCACTGAGTTTTGCAACCCCTGTGCTGTGTAATAGGTTCCACACTGCTTTTATCAGTGAAATATCTACAGGCAGATGAGGATTTCCTCACACTCGGAAGTTCTAAATTATTTTGCAAAGTTTGAAATAATCAGCACAGACTTTCTGCCTCCCACATTTGAGGTTCAGTATTTGTTACCCGAGCAGCCATTTGTCTTCTGGGACTGATCCTACAAAAAGCAGTTCAGCTGGAAATACAGAAGTGCCAATAACGTGCAGTTACATAGCCACTATTTGTGCAAGTGCTAATATTCATATTTGATGTTCAGAGCTAACAGGCATCACACCTGCTGCCATTACCAGCAGTTACGTAAGTCAGCCGGTCCCCAGGACAGTATTAGGTCAGTTCTTCTGGGGCAGGTTCACTTAATTCAGCCATAGCTGCTGCGTTCAGTGGTGGGGAGGTAGTTTCTTGGTGTATGCTACTGTCAACGCTGTCTCACAGCTCCGTTGGACTGGCTTGGGACAGCGGTCTGGGCTCTGGTAGTTGCCCTCGCACCACTCCGGTACCTTCACCAAGGCTGGACCTGCTAGCAGGATGCAGCTTCTGCTCGCCTCTGAGTGCCAGCCTCTGCAGACAGCTCCATGAGGCCCTTCCCAACACTTCTCTTTTATATAGCATGGCCTAAAGGCAGCACAACACCACACATGCACCTTGCATTAGAGGCAGCCCACAGACTATCCAGCAAACTTGACTGTCACTCTGCAGTTATAGCAAATGTCTTTATGTAATATCCCACAGCAACCCCTACACATAACGTGTCCTTCCCAAATTAATCAACAAGGCCAGGACAAAGACATTTCATGCAACTCCTACTCATTTCAGCTCACGCCATGCTTGCCTCTGAAGGCTGCAAAGAAGCGGCCACCTGATTAGAGGCAAAGAGTGGGTGCTCAGAGTTGATAGGTATTGGTTAAATGAGGACAGATCAGCCCCACCTAGAGTGAAGATGCTCCAGCACTTCACAAATATTTCTAGTTGCTTGTACCTATGCATAAAGAGCACTTGAAAAGAAGTTGTTAGCTCCCTTGTTTGCTCTGAACCTTTGATGTAAGAGATAAAGATAAAAGAGAGAAAAGATGAAGACCTGATATCATTGCATTTTGTTGTATCTCCATTTAGGAAGTTAGTGCCTCTTCTTTTCACAAATACCCTGGATCTCCTCATTGCTGCTGTCACTTGTGGACTTGGGACACCAGATGGCACAAGATAGGTATGAAATGGCAGGAAGTAGGATAGAGTGAAGCAGAGGGAAGAGGGAAAGGAACAGAAGAATCCAAAAAAACACTCTGTTTTTTTGGGCAGAGAACATGAAACAATAGCAGGATGATTTTCATGTTATACATCCTGTTACCATTGTATTTACTGTAGTAATTCAAATAGAGAAGTTCTGGACTATAAATTTAAATATCTCAGATTCCCTGAAAAGCTGTGAAACTCATCAGAAAAAGAAGTTTTTTTTTCATAATAAGCATATGACAGTTTGAAGAATTGTTTTAAAGAAAGATTGAGCTCAAAGCCTTGGTTAGGAAATACTGTACTTTTCAAGACTAGAGAAAACATCACTCTAAACTCTATAATACAGCTGATATTTCATGCAGGTACTTTGTATTAAGACAGTTAATTGCTTGACTAAGGCAAATTATACATTATATACATTATCATAAACTTGTTGTGCAATCTGAGAGCATCTCATAAAAAACGAATGCCATTAATTACCTAACAGGATTTTTATGGGATAGTGCGCTAGAATGGCCGGTATTGAGCGAGAATAAGAAATTGCACAGCCAAGGCAGGCCACAAAGGCAGAGGTGACGCGAGGGATGCCCAAGGTCGGGTTGTCCTTTGGATGGGGTTAGTGGACACAATGCACTTGAGCTACAGGCATCCTGGAGCCTGTGGAAAACAAGTTATGCTCTTTCCTATTCCCTACTCAATATTTCCTATTCCCTACTCAATATTCTGCCAGGAAGCGTGGACAAAAGTCCAGAGTACATCACTGAGCATAGGAAATGCTGTGCAATGCTAAATACTCTGACAAATCAACCCCTGAATGTCTCAGAGTGGCACCTGCAAGCAGTGAGAACCCGTGATGCTGTGTTCTGTACCTCAGTTTTCCCTTACCTATTCAGAGACAATGATTCCACTTAGCCACAACCTCACACACATACTGCAAAAATAAATTCATTTTTGTCTCTGAAGCACTAAAATTCAGGAGCACCCTTAAGGAAGTGAGTGATGTTTTTATCCTGCATAGAGGCTTGATGAGAAGCAGTAAAGATTCCTAAATGCTGAAGATGTGTGCAGAGTAGGCTTTTCACCCAGCACAAAACCATTTTGCACAGTAAGGCAGAGAGGGCGTCCGAGGACACAGTTAGACGGAATGATGGTAAATGTCACCAGGTACCTAATGAAGGCCAGACAGTGACTGTGATTTCCTAAGTAAAACACTTTGTAGGCTTATTGCTTTCTTAGCCAGAGCCAGCAGCAGGTTTGGGAAGCCCTAGGCAGCAGCTGAAGGTTGTAGCACCTTCTGAGATGCATGCTGACTAACACAGTGCTTAGCGAGGGTCCCATGTGGTCTAGAGCCTCTGTTGTTCATGCTTAAATTGGCTTCTAACATAAGGCTTAAAATCTTGGAGACATGTTGCTGTATGTGTTTGCACAAAATCCTTCATAATTCGGTTTCACATTTGCTATTACCTTGTGCAGCAACAGAGATAGCAGCAGCGGGGCTCTGGTTCAGCGCAGTTAAACCATCTCAATCCACAGGAGCATTTATATCCCTGCAACTCTCATTAACATTACTAGGATGAAACCCCTTGTCACAATGATGTTAAATGCAACACGTTCCGGATTCACCACCGCTAACTTTCTCCTCCAATGTCCCTGGTAAAGACTTCTGCACTTTCCTAGGTTCTGATTTTGTGGCTATGGTGCCATCCCCTTTCCATCGTTAGCTCCCAACAGAGGGCAGAGAGAGCCTTTGCTTCAGCTGCTTGTGAGCGAGAACTGCCAACAGTTCTGGTGAGAGTTGGCTGTGACTAAGCAGATGCCTTCTGGGAGGAGTATGGTTGGTGCAAGGATGTAAGGTAGGCTATGTTTTTGTTGCAAAAACACTGGGAATTATTTACTTGGGAGCATGGAGCCTGCACAGACAGCACAGGCAACAAATGAAAAAGAGCTAGAAGAAAATAAATGAACTGTATGAAGGGAAGTGTGGAATATTTTTTCCTCTTGCCTATTATTTTCCCTATGCCACCAACAGGAGAAAAATAACCAGTTTTTGTTTCTTAGACAAAACCTATGGCTAGCTGAAGTTACCTAAGAAACTACTTTGATCCCTGGCAACTTTGCACCTCCGAGCTGGTGGTAAATGAGTGAAACGTCATCTCTGCTTCCCTCTCACCATTGTAACAAGCATGAGAATAACATGAATGAAGGACCAAGCCCTGAGCCTTGTCGAACAAGTTTAGCCAAGGAAATTCTCTCTTAATCCGGTCTGGGAAATCATGAGAACTGTATCTGGTATGTTAATGGCATGTGATGAGACTGGTAGAGCAACCTTTGTGTTCCGTGCTGTTACTCACCTGAAGTTTGCAATTCAGCTGCACAGATACTTAGTGCACACTCAGAGCACAAAAGGCTGGATAAAATAAATGGAAATAACATGCAAGATTACCAAATCAGCAA